ACAGAGAAACCCTATCTCGAAGAACCAAAAAAAAAAGGGGGGGGGGGCGGCGGCGGGGGGAGGTGGACAAGGCCATCTTGGAGAGAGTGACATGTGAGTCACCCTGTGAGATAAGGGGCCTTCCAAATGTCTGAGTGAAGGGCCTTTTGATAGGCCAAGCAAGTGGTACAAAGCCCTTGAGGCTTGTGCACTTCCCCAGGAACAAAGTGGAGGTCTGTGGTGGTTGCTGTTTGTTGTCAGCTTACTGAGATCTGGGATCACCTAGGAAACAAGCTTTTGGGCACACAAGAGTTATCCAGGTTAGGCAAATTGCTGGCCTTGCCTGTTGGGTTATGCTAAGTAGGGTAAGTGAGCATAGTGGACCAGAGCCCTAGATGGAGGAGTGCACCATACCCTGGGTGACTGCAGGTACAGAATGACTTGCTACAGTTGGGACTTCCTTGCCACAGTGGACTGTGTCATGCATAACCTGTGAGCCAGCTTGTTTTTGTCAGGCCATTAAAAAACAAAACAAGAAAACCGGGCATGCATATGCCTTTCAGCCCAGCTTTACAGGATGGAGTTGTGTTGTGTCTTAAACAAAAAGAGGGATGAAGTTAGGTGACTGGCCACAGTGAATAATGGCTTGAGGGAAGATGAGGTCAGAGGCCAGACACACGTGACAGAACACAGAAGCAGGAGATAAGTGGTCAGATTGCTATCTTTGCATTTTAAAAACCATCTTATTTTACTTCTAAAAACCCAGATTTACCGAGAAGTCTTAAGAACCATACAGCAGAGCCCCAGAGCCCCTTCATCTGTTTCTCTACTGCATGAAAATGAGAACATTGTAGCTACGAGGGAGAAAACCGCTAGAGGCAACTGGAAAAGTCCAGACTGGAGAGGGCCACGAGGAGAGAGAGGAACAGTAGAGAGTGGGACCAAAGAGAAGGGACCAGGAGAACACGCGGCAAAATGTCTGGGTTCTATAGGAAGAAGCTGGGGGAAGGGAATTGAGGCTCAGGGGCTGGAATGGTTTAGGATAGGGGCTTGGGTGCTGGGAGAAGCCAGGAATCTAACAGGGACTTCCATCTGGGAAAGCCCAGACTGCCACTGTCCACTTTTAGCTCTCACTTTTGTATTTTTAGTGTTACTATTCTTTTTAGTTAAAACCTTTAGTGTGTGTCCGTGCTGTGTGTCGTGTGCATGTGTCTGCTACGTGTATGTACAGGCCAGAGACGCATGTTGCATTATTTTCTTCTGTCTCTCTCTCCCCCTTATTTCTTTGAGACAGGGTCTCTCACTATACATTTGCTATTTTTTGGCTAGACTGACTGACCAGAAAATCTCCTCAACCCTCCTGTCTCCGTCCCACCCCTAACTCTGAGAGGATGGGCGTGTGTAGTCATGTCTGTCATTTTATGTGTGTACTGTGGAGCCAAGCTCAGGCCTTCATGCTGTCATGATGTCATAGGCTGCCATCTTCTCCAGCCGATATTAATTGATCAGGAAGGCTAATACCAATTCAATACTTTTTTTTTCTTTTTTCTTTTTTTTTTTTTTTTTGGTTTTTCAAGACAGGGTTTCTCTGTGTAGTTCTGGCTGTCCTGGAACTCACTCTGTAGACCAGGCTGGCCTCGAACTCAGAAATCCGCCTGCCTCTGCCTCCCAAGTGCTGGGATTAAAGGCGTGCGCCACCACTGCCCGGCTCAATACTATTTTCTAACTTATAATTTATATTAAAAATTTGCTAATTATTCAGATGATGTCCTTGACAGCTTATTTGTCTGATTATGTAGTAATGGTTCGGTTGAGCTACGGCCTTGTCCGTGAAGAGACGCACTCTCCTGAGGTGCACTGCTATGTCTCCTTGATAAAACTTTTACTTCATCTAAGGTCTGTATGACAGCTCTCTCTGCTTTAAGATCTGGAAAAATATCCTTGTCCCTCCTTTTCCTCTCTGACTTGAAGAGTACCAGCTGGTTGTTTTGTGAAATGTCCTTCATGTAGCATACTATGTTGGTTTTTTTTTTTCCTTTGTGTGTGCGTGTGTGGTGGATTGGGTGAATGTGCACACGTATGCAGACAGCTAGAAGGACCACAGACTTCCTGTTCTATCACTCTCCGCCCAATGCCCTGAGACAAAGTCTCTTACTATAATGGTTAGTGTAGTCTGTTCACTTGACGGGATCTAGAATCACCTAGAAAACAGCCTCTGGCACACATCTTGATTAAGTTGAGGTGGAAAGACCTACCCTGGAAGCAGGCTTCAACAGTTCCGTGGCCTTGGGTCCTGAGCTGCACAAAAGGCGGAAGGAAAGAAGGAAGAAAGGAAGGAAGGAAAGAAGGAAGGAAGGAGCAGGAACCCTGGGTCCTCTGCTTTCTAGCTACAGATTCAATGTGAGCAGAGGCCTCAAGCTCCAGCTGTCAAGACCACAGTGGACCCAGCTGTAAGTAGGGAACAGCCTTTCCTCCCTTAGGACGATGTTTCTGTCGGGTGTCACAAGAGCAACTAATGCTCACTCAGCCAGAGCTTCTTCCACTAACCCTGTTCTGTCCCTCCACCTCTGTCTCTCTCACTGTCTTAAGAGATGTGCTTTTAGTGTGTTGTCCAGGTTGGGCTCAAGTGACCATGCTGCTCCAGCCTCCCAATTGGCTGGGATCATAGGGCTGAGCCACTGTACCTGACACACATTTATGCAGAGGTCAGAGGACAACCTCAGGTGTCATTTACCAGGTACCTTTGTTTGATGTAGAGTCTCTCACTAGCCCAGAGCTTGCTGGAGTAGGCTAGGCTGGCAGGTATCTCAGTGTCTCTATGTCCCCAGTGTTGGGATTGTAGGCATGCTCTCTCATTCCTTGGTTGGTTTTTGTCCTGTTTTGTTTTATGCATGGATTCTGAGGATGAACTCGGCCTGATGTTTCCAAGTCAAGCACTTTACAACCAAGTTGTCCTCTGAACCCAGGCCTGACATTTCATTTGTTTTCTCTTCTCTTTCTTTCTATTCTTTCTCTCCCTTTCCCTCTTTCTCTCCTTCCCTCTTCCTTCCTTCCTTCCTTTCATTCTTTCTTTTTTTTAGATTCACTTTTCTATTTGTTTCTCTTTGAGACAGGGTCTCACTATGTAACCCTGGCTGGTCTGGATCCAGTTCACTGTGCAGACCAGGCTGGCCTTAAACTCATAGAGATCTGCCTGCCCAGCCTCCCAAGCACTGGGATTAAAGGCTTGTATCACCATGCCTGGTTTCACTTAATTTTAAATTATGTGTCTGTGTATATGTGTGGATGTGAGCAGAGGAGTCCACGGAGGCCAGAGGCATCAGATCTCCTGGAGCTGGAGATACAGGCCTCCCAACAGGGATGCTGGGACCAAACTCCAGCACAAAATCTTAACTGCCGAGGTAGAGGTATCTGTCCAATCCCACTGCCTGTGTCTTAGTGGTTGAGCTAATACACAACTTTGAGTCCTTATGGTATTTTTATCAGAGGTTGCTGATAAAGGTTTGTCCTATTATTGTTAAGTTTGGCTATTTGGTTAAGATGGTATCTGCTAGATTTTTCTACCATAAGTTCCTAGCTTCCCTTTTTAAAATCAGTCTGTTTAGGACTGGAGAGATAGCTTAAAGGTAAAGAGTGCCTGCTGTTCTTGCACAGGACCCTGTTCAGCTCCTAGTGTCCATATCTGGCAGCTCACAACAGCCTGCGATTCTGGTCTCAGGGGATCTTATGCCTCTCTGCTCTTTGGGTGTCTGCAGTCATGTGCACACACCTGCATGTAGACACACACTCATCATACACTTAATTTTTGTTTTGCTTTTCAAGATATGGTTTCTCTGTGTAGCCCTGGCAGTCCTGGAACTTGTTCTGTAGACCAGGCCAGCCGTGAACTCAGAGATCTGCTAGCATGCCTCTGGAGTGCTGGGGTTAAAGGCAAGTACCACCACCAGCAGTTCCCACATAATATAAAATGTAGCTGTGAGGATTTACTTTAAGACATGACTGCTTGAATGTGAGTTTTCCAGAAACATGTAGTGTCCTTGTCCAAACTGGGACAGTAAAGACAGTCCTAAGAGTGCCTTACACAAATGCAGCTTGCTAAGAGAATGCCCTTTATTGAGGAGTTTATATAGTTAGTGGCAAGTGACCCTAGGCAATGGTTCAGTCAAGTCTGACCCCCTTAACTACATCTTTCTTTTCTCTCCAGGCGGCAGGGGGCAAGCAGGGAATGAGTGCTGGCCATCCCTTCCTCAGGAGGGCGACTTTTTACAATACTGCCCTCTGTTCCCCAGCATGTTCCCGGTGTCGGTGTCCACCAACCAATTTGATATATAGTTTATGTTCTTGACTCAGCTTCAAGCTGGTGCAGCTCCTGTCCCAATATGGTAATGATCAGCTCAAACCTGGAGGATCACAGTTTCCACAGAAGCTGGCCACGTGCTCCAGATCCCCCTGCTGGGATTCCAGGCCTGACTAAGGCCTCTTTCACCCAGTGTCTAGAACCTCACTCTTTCTTGACCCAGGTGCTGGTAATGCTTTCCCAGGGTGAAACAGCTGCTGCCCTCTGCCTCTCTCTCCCCTCCTTTCTGCCTTGCTCACATCTCCCCCTGCCTTTCCCTGCCTCCTCCCTGCCTTCCTTCTGTCTCTCAACTCTTTTCAGAATCAGCATGAATTATAGGTTTTCGGCTCTGTCCTTGCATTTACTGGTTACTCATCCGTGCCCCCGCCACCCTTCCTGCTTCTCCTTCTTTTGATATCCACACTGTCGCAGAGACAACCCCCACCCCTGCTCTGACATTTTTGTTTGTTTGTTTGTTTGTTTTTGTTTTTGTTTTTTTTTTTTTTGGTTTTTATTTTTTTTCGACACAGGGTTTCTCTGTGTAGTCCTGGCTGTCCTGGAACTCACTCTATAGACCAGGCTGGCCTCGAACTCAGAAATCCGCCTGCCTCTGCCTCCCAGGTGCTGGGATTAAAGGCGTACGCCACCACCGCCCGGCCTGACATTTGTTAATTCCTTCAAACTGTCCCTTGACTTTTTGATGTCTCCTAATCATTCTTTAAGGGCTTGATTGATGCAGAAAGACGGTTCTGGGTCTTTGAAATGTCTCCGTGAGTAAAGGTGCTTGCAGCCAAGTCTAATCACCTGAGTTCCACCCAGAAGTTGGAAGGAGAGGGTCACTTCCTGCAGATTGACCTCTGACTCCTGTATACAACGCTCTGCTCCCCTCCCTTCTGCCACAAAGATATGTAATAAAAGGATTTTAAAGTATTTTCCAGCCTTAGCTCGTGCTTTCCAGACTTCGGCTCTTTCTAAGGAGCCAGTTCCTTCAAGGAGCACGGGATTCAGAAGTGTGATGACAAGTGCCACACCCATTCTGGAGTTGGAGATGGCAGCATTCTTAGATAGTTTGGCTATGGGTATCAGAGGAGCGGAATCCCCATCTTTTTTAGCTTTTTTTTTTTGGTTTTTCGAGACAGGGTTTCTCTTCATAGCCTGGGCTGTCCTGGAACTCACTCTGTAGACCAGGCTGGCCTCGAACTCAGAAATCCACCTGCCTCTGCCTCCCAAGTGCTGGGATTAAAGGTGTGTGCCACCACTGCCCGGCCTTCTTTAGCTTTCTAAAGGTCAGTCTAAAGCATCTTGTTTTTCTGAGGTTGGGAAGGGCAACACATGGCTATGACCCCAAAACTTGGAGATTGGAGCAGGGTGATTTCAAGTTTGAGGCTAACCTTGGCTACTCAGTAGGACCTGTCTCCAAAAAAAAGTCTGCTTATTAAGTCTGACTTTAGCCCCTATTTTAATAAGTTTTATACAATTTATTCAAGTCCCAGCAACCGCCAATCCGGACAGTTCAGGTCCTTGTCTTCCGTCTTTAACCAGTTTAACCAGCCTGGCCTTTGGTCTCCGGCCTTAAGGAAACCTAGCTTTGAATCTCCTAGGATTCAAAACCAGCCTAGGACCTGGGCAAATCTCTCTCAACATTTTGTTTCTCAGATTTGTTTCTTGTCTTCTTCACCTTAAAATTAGGTAGTAGTAATGTCATGTGAACCACTGAGCCTGGCCTGCCCCAAATGCAGTGGCAGCTAGTTGACTTCTTTTACTGCGCCTTGTTTAGTGTAGCTAGGCTTGCTGCAGGGAGCTGGTGGATGAGGCAGAGAACTGTCTGCAGGGGGCCTGACTGATGATGGGTGTGGCCCCGCCTCCACATCCCATCTCCTCACTGTCTCCCTACTGTGAGCCTTGCCACCTGATGCCAGCTTTCTCAATCAGGCCGTGCCTGTTGAGTATTAGAGTCTGGATTCGCTCTCTCCCTCTCTGCTGTCTCCTGAGTCAAGGGTGATTGATACTCAACAGACAGTGATGATGTCCAGTCTTCCTTCAACTCCAGTAGGAGCAGCTTGTTTGAAATGGCCATTTTGGCAAACATAATTTTTTTGTCTCAGTAATTTTTTTGTCTCTAAAGTTGGGTAACTTTGTTATCTTTGAACATTTTTCCCTATATTCTACACTTTATGTAGAAATCATTTATATGTATGATTGTTTTGCCTGTATGTATGAATATATACCATGTGCATGTCTGGTGCCAGAGGTCAGAAGAGGGTCAGACCTCATAGAATTGGATTTATAGATGGTCATGCGCTACCACACGGGTGCTGGGAATGCAGTCCTCTGCAAGAGCAGCCAGTGCTCTTGGCCTCTGAGCCATCTCTCCACTCCTGTATCTTATCCCTTTATTAAAAAAAAATAGACAATAAACTGTCAAAAAAAGGTTTGTTTTGTGTTACTGGTGTGTATGTATGTGCACAACCAGGCGAGCTGCCTTGTGGAGGCAAGTAACTGGCACAGGGTCTGCTCAAGAGCAGCGAGTGAGTGCTCTGACCCTCTAAGCCATCTCAAGCCCGATAGCCTACAGTCTGTTTGTTTGTTTGTTTGTTTGTTTGTTTGTTTGAGACAGGGTTTCTCTGTGAAGCCCTGGCTGTCCTGGAATTCACTCTGTAGACCAGGCTGGCCTCGAACTCAGAAA